AAAAGAAAATGAAGACGATTTGAATTGAATGGTTGACTAATATCAAGCGATGTTATTTGATTCCAAGGTACAAGAGATGATGAGAAACGAAGAAATTCATCATTCATTTCATCATCACACGCCCTCATTATAATCTCATTGCAGCAAAACGATTAAATATTAACAATGAATTCGTCTCTTTCATAAAAAACCAATTGTCTTTTTATATCCATGAACAGTATTTGGACGTAGATAACAATAGATAGATAAATACTTATCCATTCTTAGTACTGTTATAGCCCTAATAGAATACATGATTTCTTCTAAACATAGTTTTAATTCAATTGGAATTGGTGATTTCAGCTGTTGAAACGTCTCAGATAAGATTTAACTTGTTTCTCTTAATAAGACAACAGTTGTCACAAACCGATCAAGATTAAACGAATATAAATATTGTCTTGAAAAGCATTGATAGGACATTATTAAGAAGATCTATAGCAGATATTCTTCCTAATAACTTGAACCTCACCAATGAAAACAAAATATCACGTTCAAACAATTTATTAACTGATTCAACATTAATCATAGCACTATATCAATTTACTTTTAGCCGACGTAGATTTCCAGCAAGTCGTTTATTAATAGCAGTTATTTGACTAAAATTGATTAAACAGATGATTATAAATCACTTATATCATTTAACTTCTTAATGAAACACAATTTATCTTTTGTTTTTCTAGAACAGATCTACAAAAAATACTGAAAATATTCTTCTTGTCTTGATCAAGATATTATTGAGATTTTTCAAAATAGATTTGTCGCGAGATAATTTATCTTCGGATTAGTCTTCAACAAAATCATACTAATGATAAAATTTAGAAGATCGAAAATAAATCTCATTATAGAGATAATGACTAAGTCTTCCAGATCTTAGACATACTCTATCGATTTTATAAACGGTGATGAAGTTTTCAAAATCTATTAGATTTTATTCGAAAGTTATTTCATCATTCTATAAAAGTCTTCACTCTTTTCCAAATCTTTAAACTTTAATATTCGTATAAAAATTTTGTTTGGGAGAATCCATTCGAATTCGACATTATTATTTATTTATAAATTTTTTCTATTATTATTAACTCAGTCTAATATATTCAAATATCACACCTTAAATAATTTTCAAACAATGGTTTACAGAGAAGAAATAGAGGAGAAGAATTTTATTTTCGAGAATAAAATAGAAAAATTTCTTTTTAATAAATTTGAATCCTCATCAAATCAAAGTCACTTCTAGAAGCAGATAAGTCATTAATTACTTATGAGAAAAAAGACTAACGTTTATTCTTATATCACCAAAAGGGTGTGGGTGTAGTTGTTGATTTGGGTCAAGGTCTTCTCTGTGCAAAAACACATGACCACCACCATATCCACTCACCCTGGGAACCGGAGGCCAAAATCATCGACTTTGGTAAACGCAGTGGAGAACACAAATTGAAAATATACGATGTACAAGCTGCCGAAGTATTTTTCTCCTTCGTTCTGTACGAGAGACACTTTAGACGCTCACACTCGAAACACAATCGCACATATTGGTGTGAGTAAAAATGTACATATTGTATGCTACAGTGTTTTTTCTCTTGCATTCTCGATATGTTCTCAGTGAGCAAAAAAATCAATAAAATTGCATTAAAATGATGAAACGAACATTAGTTTTGATTTATCTCAAAAATCATTGATTAAAACAGACATTTTCATCCATTTTATGTCGTGATGCATTTGCTTCGTTAAAATGTCTCTTTTAATCAGTAAATTTGAAATACATCAAAATTAATGTTCGTTTCATCATTCAAAAGGCCATCTTTTTCGTGCTTTTTGATATAAAATTCATAAAAATCATAAAATTTTTCCTATTTTTAAAGTCACTGTGTTTATTGCGAAATCACGGATTAAACGTAATGGAGAATACAAATAAAAAAAACATCCGACGTACAAGCTGCTGAAGTATTTTTTTTCTTTCGTTCTGTATGGGACACAATTTGAGGTCTCGTACGAAATACAATCGCACACATCGTTGAAGGTAAGAATGGGCATATTGTATACCACAGTGCTTTTTTTCTCTTGCGTTTTCGATATGTTTATTGCAAAATTACCCGCTAAACATAGTGAACAACACAAATGGAAAGTACTCTGAACATTAGGACTCCGTAAAATGACTCAAAATAGCGTCTCTCACAGTCCTGCTAGCTATTCTGTTACTGCGAATCATTTCTTTCTAGTTACCCTATCATAAAGAATTCCGAAATAACGGCGCTTTAACGGTTTCGAACGCATGTGAACATCGTCGATTTTTGCCTTGTCTGATTGGGCAGCCGTGAAACTCCGGTTGCATGCTGGAAAATCTTAGGCATACATGATTGTAAGCACAAGATTTCTTCGAATACTTGCAGTACAAATGATTTTTCTCAAAATATCTAGAAAATCGCCTGCTTCACCGAGCTGCGACAGTCTATGTCTTTCGATTTTTTCGGGAAACTTGTCTCTATTTCAAGTATTCAAAATACAAGGACAGGAAGACGATGGAGAGCTGACAGTGCTTGAGTTTTCTTCTGTTTGTTTCCGCTTATGTTATATCAGTTATTCATGTTTTCTGTGAATGTACTGATTGATATAAGCGAGATCTTTGTAAAAATAGCGTAAAGAGTAGCAGTCAAATTAAATAAATGCATTGTCTTCGAGTCTGAGTGTAAGTATTCATATCAGCTTCACTCACACCCACAGTCTGAACAAAAGATTGCTTTCGTGCTTTCGCGCAAAATACTGTGAGCATCAGTCAGGAAATCTAACTAATTCGAAGTCATTTTTCTAGTCGACGATTTATAATTTCTGCTGTTTTTTCAATGATTGTGATTACATTATCATTGATATCCTTTATTTGTTTGATCTGATTCTTCGACACTGAGCTTTATTAATTTCTCGGGAAAAAAAAAACTATCGATATCAAAAGAGAATTAAAAATAAACTGCTGTTAATACTATTGTGTCTGTTTTTATTTGCATAAAACTTGCATTCTTAATGAATTATGTAATGTTGAGATTGCAACAAAATGTTCGAACTTTCAAATTTGAATGACAGTATCAAAATTCAACGCTGAGTTCGATTAAGCAAGTACTGTTTCAAATATTTAGATAATGAATCATCGAGTCGATTCCTGAATATGTATTGTCGAGTATATATGACGACAGATTGTGATTCTCGTGCAATGACTCTTAAGATTTCATGAAAAAAAGCTTCTCTGTTAGATATATGATCAATTGTAAGCGTCACGGCAATTTCTCTCTTGAGTCGTATTGTTCATCACTCCATGGGTGCAACCATAATCGAAACATCGAGCTTCCGTTAATTTTTCGTTTCTCTTTCATCGAATAGAAGATTCGGTTCGATTGTTTCCATTCCAGCAATCATAAGCACTCACCCTAGCTTGTTTGTTTCTTCGTTGTTTCGTTTTATCAATAGAAAAGTTGGTTACGAGAAGGCAAAAGCAAATGACGTTACACGTTGGATGTGGCGACGATTGTTGTAACAATCGAAAAAGTCCTTTCTATTCTCTTTTCCTTCTTCATATGCAGTACATGTAAAGAGTGTTGTGTTTTATTTTCAGAAAGTCCCTTATTCTTTATAGTTCCAGACAATTGATATCTTCGAACGATGGACCAAAGTACTGATGCTTTAAACAAAGTAAGACAATTAATTACGGGTCCAAGCAAAGAAGCACAAAAGGAAGTCGTTAAAAGCTCCAGCCAGAATTCAAGCGCAAAAGCGGATGCAGCTATGGATGCTGCGAGTAAGTATCAATATCATTTTATGAGTAGTGTCATATAACCAGAAGTTTGAAGATGAACCCACATCTCTCTGTGGAGATGCCGCATCTCCATATTCTGGGGTATGTGACACTGCTGGATTTTATGTACCACGGATGGGATCGCTTCGAAGACAATGGAAAGCTATTCTATATCTATCATGAATGTAATATTGTAAAAACGGAGAAAATTATCTCCAGATATAGTTAAATATGTTCTTAGTACACATGACGCATAGTGTTTGAGATTTTGAGTATTAGCATAAATTTTTAAGGCATATTTTCAGTTCATAATCTGGACAATTTCTTTAGTTCTAGCATAATTGATAATATTATATTGACCTATGAACTGCAAATATCTCTTGAAAAGCATAATAAACTAGAGTAATGAAGCGTTGTTTTAAAGAAATAAAAAAGAAAATATTTTATATTCGATGCCATTACTCATTTACTGACATCGAATATATTTAAATGTTAAAAATAGTTTTGAAATCTGATTTTGTGTTGATTTCATGCAAAACATTTTGCTCTACAAAACTGTCGACTTTGTTTTTTAAATAAAACTTTCTCGTTCGCATAAAATGTAAATAATTAGCAGTGTCTCAAATGTTCAACTCCGACGATGAAAAATAATAAGCATAGTGACAATTTCTCATAAAAATGTCACTAATGTCACATCATCTTCCATTACTGTACTTTTAGACGCATATTTCAGAATTGGAGAAAACATATATGGGAAATAGATGTAATCAAGAACTGCGAAAACCTGAAGAATTTGATTTTTCCTAAACTTCTATTTTTCAACTGTCTTTTGAGACAGATAGTCTAGCCGTTTGTACTGTCAAAAATAAAAACTAGATCAACCTGCTAAAAAGTAACTTCTAATTTCGATACTATGACAATGAGTACTCCAAATCGTATATTTAAGTGACGAGAATAATCTTCTATAATGCATTCAAAGAGATCAACAGATATAAATATTATACTTATATCTATGAAATTATAAGAGTAAAAACGTTAGAATATTCATAGAAACAGAAAGCAGAGAATTCTTTCTATTGATGCAAAATACTTGATTTATAGCCTCAAACTTGATTATCATAAGCCTACATAAGTCAATAAAAGTCTACGAAAACTACGAGATCACAGCTAGACGATTGACGAACTATTAACCATTTAAATTTGTATAAACAAGAATATTTGCTTTAAAGAAAAAACAAATTTTTAAAGCAACAAGTTCTGTATAGAGCCGGTTTAAAATAAGATTTTAAACTTATTTTTAAATGCATCTAAAGTAGAGTTTAAAAAACTGCTTCAATCTGATTCATCCATAACGTCACTGACGTATAAAAGATCCTTAATAGAGGCAATCTGACACGAATATGCTTTCTAAACTATAGTAAGTTTGAGCTTTTTTAGTTTAACGTGGTTTGGTTCGATTCAGTTCGAAAAAAAAACATGAACCAATCCCATCATTGTTATGTATGCCGCATCAGATTATCATTTATGTCCTAAAACAAAATCTTTTATATAATGAAATCGGCTTTTACAATAGCGCATATGTTCGTATGAGCAGCCCGTGACCATAACAATATTCGAGGGTGTGGGTGGGTGTGGGTGGGTGTGAGTGTGGGTGGGTGTGGGTGGGTGTGGGTGTGGGTGTGGGTGTGGGTGGGTGGGTGTGTAGGTGCGGGTGTGGCGTGTATGAAGAAGAGATTTTCGCCCGCACACACAGACCACACCCACAGCAACACCCACACCCACACCCACACCCACCACATCCAGATCCACACCCACACCAAGCCACACCCACACCCCACACCCACACCCACCCACACTCACCCACACTCCACCCACACCCAAACCCACCTTCACCCACACAACCCCACCCCACACTCACACCCCCACCCTCACCCTGAAGATTGTTCTCAGAAATTTGATTATATCTCGTTGTTTTTATGTGTCTTCAATCCATAAAACCCATGATAATGATTATTATGAAGTGAATGGTTCTGGTGATCAAACGTATGATTTCGAATGCTCCCAATGCTGATTTGCTGACATAAGTGCAATACGTACTGGTACTTTCATTCCCGTCGCGGTGCCATGTCTTGTTATCAGTAAATATCAGCACTATACCGTAAATATTCCATGCCATTAAAAACAGGAAGAGGAGTAGGACAACTATCACAAAGGCACGCTTACAGCTTTTCATCTTCTCGGCATGTTTCATGCACATAAGTATGATGGTAGGGATGACGACTACTAATCCAAACACGCCAGCTACGATTTGTTGTGTAGGTAGTGATGTATTAGCTGTGCATTTGTTGTGATAAACACCACCGAGTACAAGCAAAATCACTGCGAATATTAGTTTCAAGGCTGTAAGGACATAGTTACATCCGGAGACCACAGTGTCACATTGCATACTTATTGATTGTGTGTACAGTTAGAAACTTAAAATACCAAGTGTTGCTAAAATTCTACTGTTGTAATAAAATGAAACTATGTCGTTGAGAGAGCACTTTGTTCTTGAGTAACTGCCGTTGAATCGCTTCTCTCCAATACTTTTGTTGAAAGTACATTCACTCTCTGATTTTGAAGTGTAACAGAATTTTGCAGTCACTTTTTTCTTTCTATGGCAACATAATTTTCGTTTTCTTTTTCCCTTTCCATCTAACACTCGAAGTGCTTCCATTGTAAGTAAATTAAGGTTGCTTTTTTTTATAAATATAAGCTACAATTTCTACTCAAAAGGTTTTACAGATAATTTTAAAAAATTATTACCACAAGTACGAAAAAGCCGATCAATTCTACCAACAGACACTAATTGAAACCAACGGCAAAAAAAATTCTACATGCATCGCTACTAACTAATAAAAGCCCAAAAACTTCCATATAACTCTTAGAACTAAGAACTGCTATTGCTTTCTCTTTTTTACTAATAGCTGCGAAAATAAAAGTACAACTTGTATTCCGGAAAATCATATACCTCCCGATGTATTGTCATGTATTGCCATCTAATGCGATATAAAACCTTGCACTCCCCAAAACACCTTAGAATTACATGGCATGTATTGCCATGTATTGGCATGTGATACGATATAAAACTGTACTCCACGAAAAACCTTAGAGTTACTTGGCATGTATTGCCATGTAATACGATAAAAAGAATCGTGTACTCCCCGAAAAGCCTTAGAATTACTTGGCTTGTATTGCCATGTAATGCGATGTAAAACCTTGTACTTCTCCGAAAAACCTTAGGGTGTGGGTGTGGGTGTGGGGTGTGGATGTTGGTGTGGGTGGGTGTGAGGGTGTGGATGAACAGACAACCAATACCCGCACCCCAACTCACACCCACACCCATACCCTCAAACTAAGTAAAAAACTAATTAGAACTCTCTGCAAGCTGCAAAGTTGACATTGAATGATGCTACAGATTGAAATGTGTCTTTTATCCATGATTTGTTCAAAGAAAAAAATCATTAACGAAAAAGTCGTCGTTGCCAACTGGTGATCGACTCTTGAAATTGTTTCTTGTACAATGTCGATGGAAGAACAAATATGGCAAAGACAAAAGCTGACGGAGTAAACGAAATAAAATAGCCTGAAAGATACAACCAGGGATTTCGAGATACTTTCACACATCCAGAAAATAATGAGATTATAAGTCGAGGAATTGATAGAATGACCAAAACAGTGGGACTGACAACAAGTTGTTTGTGTTCATCGAATTGTTCCAGAAGTTGTTGTCCATAACTCTGTCGAGTTTGAGTCGTCGTTCGCTGACGAGCCATGTTGAATATGATAAAAAGAGCTGAGAATAGATTAATCAAGAATGGAGCAATAAAATGAAAAAGTTGGATTGTTGTACTATATTTTTCAACCGATTGAGAATAATGAAACACACACCAAACGCGTTGCTCCTCGTAATCATCGAATAAACCACGATAGATGAACTCGTGACTCAACGAACCCAGAATGACGAGTGGTAAAAGGCGAAGTGTCCATTGTGCAATACATTTACTCTGTTTCTTATTAAAATGAATTCCTTTAAAAACTGCTGCCATTCGTTCAAGTGCTACACAAGCATTGAGCCAATTGCTCATATGTAAGAAAAGTTTGAGAGCTATCTCAAGGAATACACATCCTCCATGAAGAACATGACGATTGATCGATTGATCAATATGAGTAAATACCATGAACCAGAATTTGATTGTCAACATACTAACAGCAAGACCAGAAACGATTGATGATAGATGAAGATACATTCCAGAACCAACTTTGCGAGAATTCTGATGATAAAATACCAAATAAGTGAGGAGACTATTCAATAAACCAACTACAAATATGATCATAGTGAGAGCTGCACTCAATTTAATGACGATTGACTGACCATTGAAGGTTAAATTAGGTCGAATTACATAACGGAACATATCGTCCAATGTCAATCCAATACCTTTGGCATAAAATTGACAACGATCACCGAAGAAACAATCGGCGCATACACATAGAATACTCTCCGGACATGCCGGTCGTTCTTGCAAACATATTCCACCGTTCTCACAATAAACATCGTCTGGACACACGAAAGTTCTATTAAAATCGAATAAAAAACAGTTACTGTGATGTTCCACAGTACATAGACACATGTACGATTCATCGATAAAACATTGTAAATTAACATAATTTTGACATGGAACATGATAACTTTTTAATCGATGAATCCGCGGTAGTGCAAGTAATTCAGAACTGAATAGTTCCTGAAACGGAACACATCGTTGAGCAGGACCGATCGTTGTCGATATGTTCACTGATTCAATTTGTTGAAGAATAGCCAAATAATAAATAACACCGATCTTGAGAACAACTATATAAAACCAATGCATAGAATAGAGCGTTACAATATTCTGAAACATCTTCACTTTCTGAAGTATGACAAATGTCGGTGTCGGTTGTCCAGTATAAATGTCAGAATAAATATAGGCCAATAGGAACGATGAAACTTCGATATTTTGAAAGGAAACTTCTATTTTCGGTTTGATTTTTTCACATCTTCTCCCGGAAAATGTTTGAGGACAAATGCATAGAAAGCTGTCGTCAACCATTCTATCATCGATCACTACACATTGACCATTATTTTCGCAAAAGTTTACTGGACATGATTGTTCGAGGAGACAACGTGAACCAAACTTACCAATAGGACAAACACAAATGGGTCGATTTCGAATCGAACCAACACATAGCGAATTCAACGAACAATCACTACAATCGATCTGAATGTGACATTGTGCACCGAACCAACCGGAATAGCATCGACAAAAAAATCGTTCTTCATTGAGATATTTCATACAGGTACCTTTGTAACACCGAAAAGGACAGTGGCCAGAATGTAATTTTCGATAAGCTGGTAGAGTCAAAAAGATGGCCAGTCGATTGACTGGCAAAAACACAAATGGAATTTTTAAATACCAACTCGCTAGATAGATCAATGAACCCTTGTCGAATACGTCGATGTGGATACTGTATTTCTTTGAATTGTTCTTCGGTCGAACCGAATACAAAAGGTAAATATTGAAAGGTCGACCACATCTAGATATTGAGTCTTGCGTCAACTGATGATATGAGTGAATTTCTTGTCGATCATCGTCATCTTCAATTAAAGTAACAACAATGGCATAGATAATGCGTTGCTGAACAAATCCCATTGTGACAGTCAAACTGACACGTTGATTTTGATATTGACACCGATCGCCGTAATAAATCGGTGGGCAAAAACATATATCACTAGTATTGCCAGATCCGGGCCAATGGTAAACGTGAAGACCGTAATTACAAATCTTTGGTCGTGCAAAATCATCGAGTGAAGATTTAATGTATCGATCATTCGATTGATTATTGACAGAACCAATTCGAACAGTTGGCGATAGCGGATAGATTGATGCAGTTTTTAATGAAAAAGTAGGCCTGCGCATAAAACCGATTCGACATAAGACATATTCTACATCGGTAAGATTATCGAAATTCGATTCTTCACATAGTCCTGCACGATCTTCACAAAATTTTTCGTCATCACCCAATAGGCAATCTTCAACACCATCACATAGTTTATCGTGTTCGACACATGTCGTGTCATTCTGACAATAAAAACCGTAAGTTTGCTCATAGCTATATGTCTGTCGACAATATTCAAGTTCATCGGATGCACCGAGACAATCGATGATTCCATTACCAATTTGATTGGCTGGCAAACAAATCAATGTAGAATTATGTGGTGAAATACAAGGAAGAAAGCGTTTAGGACAAATCGAACGCGTACAGTTTTCTTCATCGTTTCCGTATGTACAACTCCAAAAACCATCACATCGTGTGTAGACATTGTTGCATGGCCAACGTTCACAATCAGTCTCATCCGAATGATTTCGTCCATCGATTATCATCAGGGACCGATCGATAGCTCGATCGCAGATTTCATAAAATAAGATCTGATCGAAATTATTCTGTCTTTCAGACTGACAGATGTTTCTTAGCAATGCAATCGATTGACAGTGAGTATCATTAAGACATTGGAATCGATATGGATGATTCAACGGACAACGCGATTCAAATACTTGTTCATCATCGTTCAGAACACAATCCGATATACCGTCAACAAGTCGATGTTTCGAAATGTATTTCGAAGAATTCTTGCACGCATATAACGATGAATAAAGCGAATCGATGTTGTGATAATGTCGAGTAGTGCAACCGCGAAAATGAGGTTTGATTAAATCGATGATCGATTTCCAGTCGTCCACCTTGACGTCCGATCCAAGACCCATTTCATAACCATATCGACAAGTCATATTTCCATGACGAAATGTAGGCGTGAGAAAATCGCATAGTTGTTCATCATAACAAACATAATTGGGTAAGAGAGCTAATTCGACACTGATGTTAAAAATCTGTTTCGGATGATATAAAAAGCGTACATGAGCTAAGAGCACAGGAATAGTTGGGAATTGAATAGGATATTCACAAGTTTCTAGTCTAGGAAGAATTTGAGAAAGGTTAACGAACTGTTTGCATGATATTTCATTGACTTGATCGATGATTTTACTGAGGCAAACCATAGCTATCCAACAATCATACGGTAGATTCCCTTGAACACTGAGTGATTCGGTCAACAGAAGATGCCGTCCATTTTGACATTTACCAAAATCTTCTACACATTGTCCATCACCGCACGGAAATCGACCTTCATCGGGTCGACATGCGTATTCTGAGCAGGTAAACATATCAACTTGGAGATAGGTATCAGGACAATCAGGCATAACCAATAAATCCGATTTATCAAGACATTCAGCCTCACCATAGTCGCCATCCCAAAACGTTTTTGGAATGCACAATCCATTATGACATCGATTTTCGTTTTCATTACATTCATTGATTTCTAATTCGAAACATTGACTTTCATCAACACCATCATTGAAACAATCAATTCGACCATCACATATTTCACGCCAATCGAGACACATTGATGCAACACCACGATCACATTCTAACAGAATGTAACATGTCCGATAAGTAATAGCTTCGGTCGTGTGAGATTTCCACTGGATGTTGAATGTCGTTTCAGCGAAATTCGACACTAATTCGAATGAATATTGACAACGAGATCCGAACCATGGTGGTGTGCAATTGAAGAATTGTTCATTCAATCGATTAGATTTAATTGGTTGATCAATATAATATTGATATCGTTCAGCAAGATCGATCGAAGATGACCATAAGAGGACTTCATGTGAAGTGACTCTCAAACGGTGTAATTCGTCCAAAGTAAAATTTCGATGATTTATATTGAAAAAATCGATCATCGTCGGATTCTGATCATCAATTGGGCGAATACAATACTTGATTGTGCCGGGAATATGTGAATCGCTTGAAAAGTAATGCAAACAATCAAATTGAAAAGGATCTGTATCATACAAAAACGATTGCAATTCAACAAATGTATTCAAAAAGCATATTACATGCAGAAGACTTAGCATTATTAATACTATGATAACATCACACTCAAATGATATATTTGACAAACGTTTAACTAACTATTGACATTTGCATTATATGCTCATATGGTGTTCATTTTACGCGTGATCCTTTCAGCATAATTTTTTTTGTTAATAAGACGTGACATACTGCAACGGAAACGACACATAATCATGATTCTCTATGAGTAACATTGTATTGAGCTAGTGGAAAAGATGATGATGCGGTACTCATTATATTCTTGTATTTTCTTTTTATATTAACCTGGTTTTTCCAGTCTTCTTTCTCATTGAATAAGCTTGAAAATGATACTATTCAATGGAATATTGGCTTTGGATGCGGAACAAAAGATTTCGCCCATAGACTCAAATTTCACTAACTCCTGTCACTTGTATGAGTTGTTATATACTGAATAGTTGACAAAAATCTTGCAAGAACAAGAGCATGTGCTGGAATAGACCTCTTATTATGATGTGAGTGTCTACATTGCTCTGCTATGCTATGTACGACAGCGTGTCGAAAATGTTACCCAGGTCAAATTCACCCTATCGGATCCGACTGTCGGAAATCATCATCATCCGTTAATTTTCGACGTCGGATTCTGTCAGTTTCCGCCAAATCGGATTCGATGACATCCGACAATAGGAACTTGTCATATCCGACGAAATCCGATGCTAGAAAAATATCTATAGATGCTTTATTTTAATTTAATTTAATTTAATATAGTTTTATTTTAATTTTATTTCATTGTACTTTATTCTATTTATTTTACTTAAGTATTTTTATTTTATTGTATTTATTTTATTTTTGTTGTATTTTATATTTTAATTTAAATTGATTGTTATTTTTGTTTTAATTTAATTTTTCTTTTTTGTTTTATTTTAGGTATTTTTACACTTGCTCGTTCTGTGACCAAACAAATGTCTTGAGGCGTTGTAGCGTAAAAGGACCGTCGTTTATTTAATGTATTTCATTTAGTTTATTTTGTTGTTTTTACTTTATTTTCTTTTCTTTTAGATTTTGTTGGGGGATGAGATCAATCAACAGTGAATATAAATTTTTTACTCTTTTTATCTTTATTTTATTGTTTGGTTTTTTATTTGATCATAGCCTATTTTAGGTTTTAGTACGGCATGAAGTCAATCCAGAGTGGCTATAAATTTTTTGTTTTATTTTCTTCGCTTTTATTTTAGTTTTATTGGAATGTAATTAATTTTTTTAATTGTTTTTTCTTTCATCTTATCTTCTTTTGTTTTAGATTTTATTATGGCGTGAACTCAGTCAACAGTGAAAATACATTTTTTTTTATTTTTCTTATTTATTTTTATCTTCATTTTACTGTTTTTTCATTTTATGGGATTTTTTCTGACTTACTTAATTGTGTTTTATTTTAATTTTATCTTTTTAATTTTAATCTAATTTTTTAAATTGTTATTATATTTTATTTTATTTTACTTTGTTTTAAATTTATTATTGACCAGTTGAAAGTAATAATCAGCTGAGATATATTAGATTTAGACTATTAATTGATATCTAATTGTACAAGAGGGAGGAAGTAACGGAGGGAAATCAAACAAGGTCTAACGTTCAGGTATTATTTCAACAGGAGTCCCAGTGTATCCGACGTTTTCTAACAATCAGATTCGACAAGTTCCCGTCAGATTCTTCGATCTGGGTAGTGTTCCTGAAAAAAATAATTACATCGGCATTGCACAACAACGTATATTGAAAAGTATAGTTTAGGTAATGTCTGATAGAGAGCACGTCGAATGCGAGTCTGAAATTTTTTTCGCTGGGTCTAGATTTGAAAATGTTTCGTTAACTGGATATGGCACCAAAAAGAGTTTGTACTTGATGGGTCTATCATCTGCGGAATGTGCTGGGTACGCTAGTGATCGAATACCACTAACCGGAGAAAGGTATCTCATACCGTCAGATTGGCTATTCATTTTCGATCAGAAAATTTCCTTACGAGTCTTAAAATAAGGTTCGACGACTTCAAGGTCAATTACCAAAAAACAATGCATCCTACGAGTTCTAGTTCGATGAAGAAACTTATTTGCATATGAATGAAAGAGGTCAAATAGCTCAACAAAGGATAGACAGTCAGAATATACAAGTATTATCACAAATAATCACAATTTATTAAAATAATTTTATATTTCAGAAAAAAATGTGAAAAGTAGTATCATTAGAGTTCCGATTTCAGAAGAGAGCGTCAACACAACTTGACATTGCCCACACAATACTGGCTGTTTACATAACCGTAGGCTCCCTTGGGTAAATTGATGCGGTACCACTTAACATTTGTACCACCTTCTTTTCCGTTAACATAACAGTCGCAGGCATAGCTCGTATCATAATTAACATAGCTGATTGTACTACAGGTCTGAGACGCACACTTACGAACGGGACCTTGTCGATGGCATGAGATTGTAGTGCCAGCCTATTGATATTGAAAAAAGAATGTTTCAAACATCAAAAAATTTGATGATG